CAAGGTTTTTGCTATTTAGGTTGTGTATCGTAGAACCTTATTTTCCTAGTTGCAAGATTTTCTAAAACTGCACTGTCAAATGTGGGGATGTGATTCTTAAAAAATTATGTATTTTAGGTCCTGTGAATCCAGAAGATGTCCGTGCCTTGTTACAGAAGGATGCAGGTGTGTAATAAATTAATGTATTTTAGATGTTACTTTGCTTGTACTTGTAGATGGTATCCACTCTGCCTGTAGATTTACTAAGGCTACAGCAATGTAATTTCTTTGTTCTCAACTTTCTACAAGAAATCTAGGAATCAAGAGATTAAAGCTGTGTGGCCAAATCTAGAACCTGCTACTTACATGTCAACATTATTTGAATGTTTGTTGATACAGTTTACAGTGCCCTTGGCCTGGCTTCCTACGAGTTGTATGATGTGGTAGATTTTGACCAGTGGTTCCAAAACCAGCTGCTTGTGGAGCTGCAATGCAAGCATCCTAGGTAAGGGGGCATTTCTGTGCAGTATGGTTGAATGACTTACATGCAGATTAACATCGTTTAAATAGAAAAACTGTCTTTAGCCATCAGGGAAGGTGAAAAACTTGTTGTTGTTTTCTAGAATGAACCCATTGTCAGCAAGTACAGTAGGAGCAACCTGCTATGTATGACATGTCATTTCATGTTACTAGCAGTTAATATGTAACTAGCTGATTGATTTTCTAGAATGTGAATGTCCTACAAATTTGTACATTGTTTTTAACTTAAGGTATAACTATTACTGTGGAATACGTATTTCTGTACTCGGACACCTTGTGTACATTCAAGTTTTGCTTGCTGTCCACAGATATAAGATAATTCGAAGACGAGTCATCTGGCTGATTGGCCAGTGGATTGGAGTGAAGTTCTCTGTTGACTTGCGTCCGATGATGTATGAAGCCATCCTGCCACTGCTTGGTACAGAGGAGGACCTGGTGGTCCGCATCACTGCTGCTAATACACTTAGGATAGATATCCTTCCATGCTGTCATGTTCAGCAATGCTTTGTTTATCAAAAAATGAAATGGGATAATCTTTTACTGTATTTCCATCCAAATTTTCTCTGTGTGTAACTGTTATCTTTTTGATCTCTCAAATATTTATCTATTCAACACAATAAGTGTTACACCGGTAGCAATAAAACTACATGTATATTATATGGTAGAAAATTTCAATTCAATTCAATAGATAGATATTGTCAATAGATAATGCCAGTATCAGACTTAGTTAAATCTGAAGCCGGTTGTCTTAAGTAACATGCCTTTGGTGATGTCTCCTTGACTTTTTTCTCACCTGTGGATGATTTTGAGTTCAAGACAGAGCAGTTCTTACCAGTAAGCCAATATGAAGATCTTGTACATGTTTTATGTATCATATATATTGTTTTCTTCCCATTTCTTGAATTGATCATGTTCCCTGATTGTGAATTCAAATTCTTTAAAATTTATAATTGTTCAATGTGTTGATATTGGATGGTAAGTAACTTTTGTCTTCTGCACCCTTCAGTACTTGGAAAGGAACTTCTCATTGTTGTTTCACCTGCTACAACAGGTGTCTGAGTGTGATACCAAGGTATGTTCGGTTCCCACTTACAGTCTATATATTTCCAAAGGTGTGATTATAGGCCTTTGTAACACTATTTGGTTATAATTTGAGCCTTTTATGAAATTAGTGGCAATCAAGTTTGAAAGTTTTTTTGGGTCCAGTTAACACTATTTTTGATTTTCACCCACAGATGCAAGTGCTACATGTCCTTTCCTTTGTGATTGAAAGAGTTGGACCTGAGGTAAGTATGAACCTTTACTATATGTTGTTAAAATGGGTTGCTCTTCTTCTATGGAAAAGACTTGAGCTGAAACAGTGCTTTTAACAGTTTGATGTTATTTCATCACTGCCCTCATGTTACCAGGCATATGATGTACAATGTTTGGTGTCTACTGCAGATCAGACCGTATGTGTCATCACTAGTACAGTACCTACCTATGCTGTGGGAGGAGTCAGCAGAACACAACATGCTGAGATGTGCCATCATTACAACACTCATCCATCTCGTACAGGTCAGATCATCATGAGGGGTCATTTAAGAGGCAAAGAATCAGGCCAGCCTGCTGATTCCATCTGAATTTTTTCAATTTTCATCTGCACTGGATAAAAAGACATCTAAGACTTCAAGAACCAAATTGAACCATTAGAACATTATTAGCTGATTAAAAAGGTGTTGGATATTTTGCAGCCAGTACACGTATCATTGTTTTGAGGCTGTGATCAGCATTGACCTAAGTTGACTTCTTTGGTATGGTTGGTTTGTTGTGCAGGGTGTGGGACCACTCTGCATGAATCTTTTCCCCTTCCTGCTGCCAGTCATCCAGTTCAGCACAGACGTGACCCAGCCGCCTCATGTGTACCTCATGGAGGATGGGGTGGACCTGTGGTGAGTTAGTGCGATCTACAATGTAAAGCAACCTCCTTAGCAGGATGGATAGATCAGGGTTTTTGGGAGGCTTTTTTGTAGAAGGTGGCACACCAGAACCAAGTTTGATTGGAATGAACGCCATCACAAAACAGGCATGACTCGTACAGCCTGCTAAGGAGGCTAAATGTTAACACACCGGTAGTGCTTTAGGAATCTCAGCACATTTAAAACTATTCTATACCGATAATTGCTTAACACTATTTTGTATGACACATTTAGATATCAGGTCAAAATGTATCATGCAAGGGCTTGTGGATGATATTGCCATGAAGATACTGTTAATGAAAAACTTTTGGAACTTAGTTTGGCTTAATTAGATAACAGGCTTAGGGGACTAGATGAAATAAAGTATTTGGATGGAGTTACTGTGACATGACATCCTTTGCCTCCCTCCCCACAGGCATGTGACCTTGCAGAGTGCGACCTCTGTGACGCCAGAACTTCTGCAACTCTTCAACAACATGCCTGCACTTTTAGGTCAGTTATTTAAAGCACTCAATGGACAATCCTGAATTGTTAAACTAAAAAGTTAGTAATACCTGTAGATAATGCCTGTTACTGTTGACTCATGTTAGTGAAAATTTGATGTTAACAGGTATGAGTTAGTCGTCCTGAAGACTGATACATGTACGTGTACTTGTGTTTTTCAAATTTTGTTGCCGATTTCTATGAGTTGGAAAAAGTTGTTAAGTTGCACTTAAAAGCGCTTAAGTTGAAAATTTAAAGAAAAATCCTCTCATATGGTAAGAAAATATGCATGTCAGCCACTTAAGGTCCTAAGACCCTAATCCACTGCAGACAGTTGATGACAGGATTCTAGTGCAGCCCATTTGGAACTTCCCTCTTTATATCTCAGACTCACTCACAGACATCTTTACTTCTGACAGAGTTGGGGTCAGAGACCTTGCGGGTCTGCTTCAGCATAGTGGACTCGTACGTTCTGTTGGGGCCTGGTGAGTTCCTACAGGTGAGGATACTGCACCTCTGATCCCAGTGTAAAAGTTCTTTTGCACATTGATTCAACATATGTATAATCTCTAAAACCATTAAAAGTTTTGTGTTTTCTGTTGTGCAATATTATAGGTCGTATGGTTTGCTGTTTATGCAAGACAATGGTACCACCTGTTCTTTCCTCTACAGATGTACTCTGGGATGTTGCATGCATTGCTGTCAGACATGATGACAGACCTGAGACCAGAAGGAGTAACCCACATATGTAGGGTATGTCAGCACAGTCAATGTCTCTGTTCAGTTTTCCATTCTCGTCTCATTATGTCCTATTGTTCCAGTCACATCACCAGGATCACCTACAGAATTGCCCCTTTTTGCCTTTCCTCAGGTAATAGAAAATATGTTCCGCGTCTTCCCTGTCGAAGCTCCCCAGCTGTTTCCGGATATCTTGTCTCATGCCTTCAAGGCGGTACTAGATAAAGAGGTAGGAACATTTCAACTGTTTTGCTGTATGAGCTCTTGATATAGTTCATACCTTGGACACCTTGGACACACAAATTTCCACATGTAGAACTTTTGAAAGGAACTAGGTCATTTAGGTAAGTTGGTGAAAAATGCTGCAGTACAGCATCTTGTGATTTCAGGCTGTGAAAGTGAAAAGTCTTTGATCATTGTCAACGCTACCTTTAACACAAATTAAGTCTTTTCAAAAAGGCAAACTACTCCCTCAGTACTGGGACATGTTCATATTTATGTCGTGGCAACCAAATCACTTTAAAGTTTAATTTTTTGACTCCAGAAGAATTTATCCTTCTTTTTTGAGAAAGTGGAATCATCTCTAAGACTTGTAAGGACATGACAAACTTGTGGGGAAACATGTTGTGTTGGTTGCATTGTGGAAGGTCTTATTACTTAAGTGTTCTCTTGGCTTTTCAGGAGCTACCACAGCTGATGTCTATGTACCTGGTGCTGATTGCCCGTGTGATGTTACAGAACAACACTTTCTTCTTCACTTTCCTGTCCAGCCTGGCCTCCAAAGTTGGGCAGCAGGTATGTTAGGAAGAGGGAATGTTGTGGAGTGTAGTCCAGATAAGAACAGTCAGTAAGAAATTTATAGAGCTGGACCACCAAGCTACTTCATGTGACCTGTCCAGCTGTACTCAGACTCTGCATTTGCATAATACTAGTAGATGCATTATTTGTTGATAATGACAATGTCTTGTCATGTATACATCTAGTAAATATATAAGTGTTGTGGCATAAATGATCTACAATATTAGTAGTGTAGATGATATTTCTGTTAGTTACTTACTGACTATCAGCACAGTGCAAAAACTCATAGTCTTAAAAGACAAAATAAGTTGGTTTATCATGCATGCATGTACAGTATGGTATTAAACACACCTTTAGTTAAGGACTAACCTTGTTTCTTTGATAGCCGGGAGAAGTGTTAGGGACTTTACTGGATATCTGGATGGAGAGACTGGATTGCATCAGCCAACCAGAGAGAAGAAAACTCTCAGCTTTGGCCTTGGCCTCCCTTCTGGTCTCAACTGAAAAGTCAGTCCCTTTATGAATATCAACTAATTTGTGCCATTGTTTACTATTGTATTAGACCTTGTACTTCTATTGAGACAATAATTTTTAGGGGAAAATTGAAATATTCCTGACCTAAATGTGTTAAGCATAGCTGGCCAATTCTGTTTTGTGTTCCAGAGTAATAGTGGAGCGGTTCTGTGCCATTGTGAACTGTTGTGTGGAAGTGCTCCATGATTGTTGCAGAGAGGACTATACAGAGTGAGTTTCATCTGTGTTCACTAAGTGTTTGTTGATTTGTTAGGTAATGTGTTAGTTTCGGCTTGGGAATGATTTATGCAGTGTAATTATATGGCTTCTGTTGAACCACTGAGTACATCATTTAATCTCACACAGTTTCATCTTGAATAAACATTGTATTACTATTACGCTTTTCAATGATGGCTGGCATTTTCAGCATACTGTTGATGACAGAAAATAACCCTCAACCTGAGGATGAGATGGAGATGGAAGAGGACAGAAGAAGAAGACAGGTAAAGAGAGATATCGAATACATAGGTACCAACTCTAGCTATCGTAACATCCATCCTGGCTATAGTGTATGTTCATGTTGCATTTTATTGCACAGTAATTAAAGGTATAGACAGCACTGTTTTGAATCCATCTTTCAAGGAATACTGAAAGATACCATCAATGGCCCTTCTAATGTCCTGTAACTTTTTCCTATGTGCAGTTGTCTATCAAAGATCCAGTCCACTCAGTGTCACTGAGAGACTTTGTTCATGCCAAGCTGCAGGAATGTCAGCAGACACATGGACAAGATGGCTTCCAAAAACTCATGGACACGGTAGACGTTGAGATCAAAGAACAATTACAAAGATTTATCAAGTAGATGATGTAATTCATTTGACAGTTTGGCAAACTTAAGTCAGCTTAAATGAAGCTCTGTGCTTGGTGGTCACTGTTCTATTGTCTTTCAATCAGGTTTTGCCAAATCTAATTTGGTGAGTAACTCACACCTGTATAATGTTTTGTTAAGGCTTTGAAGATTGCTTGTGCTGGATGAAAGGAGCACGTAATTGTTACATGATGCTTGCTAACATTGTTGAGTACTATTATCTGCGTACTATAGCTACTTGGTTTGACATATGGTACTAAGTATATAGTATATGTAGATAAAACATTACAGCAGATCTGCTTCTTAAGGTTGACAAATGTAATCCCAAATTTAGCTAGGATTTTCATCACCCAAACCTCAATGAATTGCTATATACATGTATACACGTAATGTTACATATCTGTATCATAGTCGGTTGCAAAAATGACAAAAATTAATGATTCTTAGTGCAAAATGTACTCAAAGACTATTTTCCTTTGTTTCTGCCACTCATAGTACTCTAGTCTAAAGGTTGCAATACCTGGAGATATTTGAGTTGTCAGGTAACAGATGAATGTAGATAATGGATAGAGCAATGAACATGTTTGTCATACCTTGTTTGAGAACACAACAATAAGAGTGTTTGCTATACAATAAGACACATATTCAAAAGCAAAAGATGAATATCAACAGGGTACTCATGTAGATATTTGTAGGTTACCATGTAATCATGCAAATGAAGATGAAAGATTTTAGAAACTGTTAAGAACACAGCCTGATTTAGAATGAGTATGTACTGTATGCTTGAAGCAAGAATGTTGAAAGAAATGTCATATTGATGCCAGTACAACTTAAAGGCATAAAACTGGAGAATGGTCAGATGTATTGAATGTTGTTTAAGGTAGGATTCTAGTTTTGGGTTGCATCTGCTTTCTCCAAGTCAGATGATAATCCAGACCTTGGTAGGAACAAGGTTTCAAAATTGTACAAAGTTTCTGAAGTGTAAAATTTGGAAGAAAGACCTTTATGAATTTAAGAGAAATTGTTGGGTATTTTCGTAAGGGAGGGCATCTGTGTGGTACATGGTAGATGAAAAGAAGTAACATTATATGCTTGCAGCTATTTTTGTGGAAATACCCGTAAGTCAAGCAGAATATGGCATGAGAAACCTGCTGTCATGATAAAGAACAAAAAGAAATAACATTTTAATACACAAACACATGTGACTGCATCAACTCTGAAATAAGCTGAAAGCCTAATGTGGTCAATTTATGATAACCATAGCTAGGTTAGAACCTTAGTATACTGCCATGATAGCTAATGATATTGAACTTTTTGTTTAGTACATTTCCATGTGGAAGAAAGGAGGTTAGAAAAGGGACCTCCTTGGTAGAATACAGGTATATCCTACATATACAACTTAATACAGCTGAACCTATACCCAGGCATTGTTGTATTGGGTGATAGATTTACATTTATGCACAGGATGAGTGTACCAAACCAAACCTGTAATAAACAGAAGTGGTCCATAAACACTGTTTGTAGGTTGTTTGAGCACATGCAACTTTATTTGTAAAAGTACATAAAGGTCCTCAAAGTGTAACCTTGGCAATACACAACACAGATAGTATAGTGCAACATATGTCAGGAGGAGCAACACATCTAACGTTACTTGTGAATACATGTAACGTTATCTATGAAACCCCAAACAGTTATCTGCATACACCGATAGATGTCCACCATGGTACCAGTGACTAGATCACCACTATGAACATCTGAGAAATCAAGCAGAAAACCCCCATGCATCCTCATGCTGAGGTTAAGAAAGGAGGTATCCAGTGGCCCAGGCTTGTTCGTGCTGTCTTGGCCAGGATAAGGTTTTCCATATACCCGTTGTTCTAAAAATACTTTTGGGCTATACTATTTCGACCTATGCATGGCTACGCTCGACGCCCGGTACCGCCTTATTAGTAGGGCAGAGAGTAGACCCTGGAAGCTTGTTATCATCATACTAGTAAATGTTACTAATTATTGCAAGGATATCAGCAGTTTTGATTCCATGCGACTAAGCCACCTGTTTTAGAAATTGGAACTCAGCACCCCTAAATTTGAATGAGACAACCTTTATGATATAACTAGGTCAGAGGCTACGTGACGTGTGTGACTCACCACTAACTGTGACAACAGAAAAACAGATGCCGGTTGGCGGGAGTGGAACAGCAGCTCCAGGCCAGAAGGTTTGTTTTCATAAATTCTACTCTCTGCATAGCTCCCAGCTTACCTAACACACTGACTAAGTACGAACGAACTCTAATACGCTAACATGTTGTCCATGCCGTTACAAAAAAATCAGTTAACGTTAGATTTTTAACGTCCTTGCCTAAATCGATATCACCAGTTTGGAGGTCCGGCTCGTCGCCTTCTGACAGAAAAAGGCAGAAATACATTCCGGATATTAACGAGTACTGTACGTGTATCATACCAAGGACGTCCTTGGTTATACTAGTCTGGTCACCTCACTTTCTAGCGATCTAGGGGACCACGCCTCTTCGGCAGAGAAACCTTAATTCCCAAGGGGTTCTTCGAGGCCCAGAGAGATCGGCTGTCAGAAAGAATGAGACTGTTGTTGTTATGCAAAAAGCAGCAGCAGGTGTATGCAGATCTTACACAATACGTTTACCGTACTTAAATCTTTCCCAGGGACTTGCCACTGGAACATCGTAGTCCTGAGCTGATGTAAGAAACATGGCAACTTCGAATGAAAGCATGGAGAACATCATGGAGAGGATGGGCAGCCTTCCTTTGGTCAACACAACTGTTCACCAGGTACATTATTATACTATTTATACAACTGCTCACCAGGTACATTATTATACTATTTATAGTCATGATAGTAACGTTAGTATCCAGTATTTGACTATAAATTAATGTTCAATTTTTATTCGGAGCTCTTGTGGAGCTTGTCATCTACCGTTCAAAACGTGTGCATAAAGGCAGTTTCAGTACAACAGACAGATTTGTGTACTATATATTATAACTCTGTGCTGTATCCTCAGGTCTCAGCCCTCTACTCCAACACTAAGGAATGTTGGTGGGTGGCCAGGTGCACCCTAGGTTTGGCTGAAAAGTCTCTACAGATGGCAGCCTGGACAGCAAAGCCAGTGGCGGAGAGAATGGGGATGGACGTTGATGGCACTGTGGCCATGGCCAGTCAGTATGCCTGCCGTGGGCTAGATGTTCTAGAGGAGAAGGTACCACTTCTCAAGAAACAACCAGGAGAGGTAAATTTAGATTCTTTATGTGTAGGATCTTGACCAGTGGCCTTGGCAATGCCTGCTTGTTGCTTTTTACCCCCGTCCCCCAACTAACGATGTTTCAACTAATTTTTTTTCTGCCTGTTTTAATCATTAGATTGTTGAGGAAACCAAGAAAGCTGTGGATAGCAAAGTGCAGGCTGGGAGCCAACGTCTCCTGCAGACCAGCTTAGGGCAGATGATGTGGTGGACAACTGACACGGCACTGGACATCACTGAGAGATGTGTGGAGTACTACCTTCCCAACAAACAGAAAGGTATGGTTACATGTTCATTAACACTGTTGATTTATATGAGGGTCTGCATGGGGGGGTCCTGGCAACGGTTAACGGTAAATTCAGCAGGGCCGATAACGCTGAACGGTAAATTCAGGACGGTCGGCAACGCTTAACGGTAAATTGACAGGCTTTTTTTTCGAGCTGCACTGGATTTGGTATCTCGCTTTGGGAGAAAAGGTGATCACTGACAAAATTATGTATACCTTACATGTAATGAAGCATGCAAAAAGGTATGTGTTCCCTGTGTTTCCCACCTGCCCTGGTCCCCGAGTGCGTCCACAATTGCAAATACCGGGGTGTCCGAGTCGACGTCGGCCAGCTTGCATTTTTTCAGTCTGCCCAGTTTTCTAGGGGGGTCCGGGGGAAATTTAGGATTTTGAAGCCTTCAAAAACGCAATTTCCTGCATTTTAAGAGGCAAATCATGGTGTTGAGAGTGTTTGTCGGTCCTTCTGATGTTTTCATATTTTACTCAAGATTTTTGTTAATTTGCCTGTCAAGGTTGACGGATTCATTAAAAAAAATTCTGTAACTCTCCGCAAACTTCCGGAAATTGAAGGGAAAACTGGTTCTGGCTAGAGCCGAAGGGACCGAGCGCAGAAGTGCGAGTCGAGCGCCAAAGGCGCGAGCAATGTAGGGGGGGTCCGGGGGCATTCTCCCCCGGGAAATTTTGTATTTTTAAACCTTCAATGACGCATTTTCCTGCACTTTGAAAGGCAAAATTAGGCGTAACGAAGAATTATTCATTAACGCTCAACGCTGAATTTAGGATGACAAATAACGTTTTACGTTGAATTAAAACGACCCATAACGCTTCACGAGGAATATACTGATAACGCTTAACGTTGAATTAGAGCGGGCCGGCAACGATTAACGGTAAATTAAACTAGCCCATAACGGTTAACGAAAAAGGGCATGCAGACCCTCTTATCTATTAAAAGAAAAAAAAGTGATATTCCTAAACATACATGGAACGAGCTTCAGGTCAATTATTCTGAAAGGATATGCTCTAGACCAATCAGGTAGCTCCACAACTAAGGTATAAGTAAGGTATCTACTAAGTGTTGTGTTGTGAATTCTTTCAGATGGTGAGATGGAGGAGGAGGAAGTACATGTGCTTAAGAATGCAGAGACAGAAAAGTCCCTTCTGGTGAGGGCCTCAACCCTGACAGAGAAGGTGCACCGGAGGCTGAGTGAAGGAGCTAGTATAAGGATGCGGTCAGTACAGAGATGTGGCAGAGAGCTGCTAGACACCCTCAGGGACATGCTGGAACTGGTAGGTACAGCTGGGATAGAAGATTTTGTTACCCTTGGGCCTTCTATTTGTGACATACATGTACATATTGTAGAACTGGAACATTCAATTGTAGGAATGTCTGTATGCAATGGTTATTACTGTTATACATTGTAATGAGGTTTTGAGTTTATCAATATTGCTATGTTTTTGCAGATTGAGCGCACGAAGGGTAAAGACAATATGGAGGTACAGGACCACCTGATGTTGGTTCCCAAGCCAGTATGTCAGGAGCCTGACAAGGACGAGGACACACAGGTGTGTTATACCTCAGGAAACCTGCAGGACCTATATGACCTTTGCAGATGTTTTGATTTCAGTGGTGGTAGTTTGTAAACAATACCTCATCAGATATCTCTCATACATACCTAGCTGGTGTGTTACGCCGAAGGGCATTTATACCGACTATACCGATACAGATACTGCTGCTCTCTAAGTGTGAATTTTTGTCTTGTTCAGTATTTAAGATCTCCAGAAAGAAGAAGTTTAGTCGTGACAGTGGAACTTGGCAGTTGTTTTTTGGGAAGGCAACCGCTGCTATTCTAAAGGCATTGTCACTAGTTTAAAGGCAGAATGGTATCACTTGTGAAACCCAATATCTTGTTAGTTATTTTTGGGTCACCCTTATCATGAAACAAAGGGTATCAATATCACAAATTCCCGCCAATTAACACCATGTGAGCCTGTTTTGCCAGATTCACCTCTATGCTCTAGGTGAGCTATTAGAAGTTTTCTATGAAGAAGCTTCTAAATGTTTATGTTCTTGCTAAATGTACGTGCAGCCAGAGCAGTGACAAAGTTAAAACTCCAGGCCAGCGAAGAGCACACTGAAAGCTGTTTGGCTACCTATTCTTTATTGTTTATGGGGTTTGGCAGCAGGGAGAAGGTTAGCATTTGACCTTTTGCGCTGTTTTTCCTGCAGAGTCTGGAGAGACAGAGCCTGGTGGTGGTGACCAGCTTGCTGCAGGAGGTTCGGTCCATCTGCAGCCTGATGGTGCTGCAGGTGTGGGCACTGCCGCAGCACCTGCAGGACAACATCACACAGGCCAAGGCCATGGCCGATCAGTTATATGACAACTTCTGTAAGGTGGGTACCCTGCATCTTGCAACTAAATATATTGTTATACAAGTACAGATAACTGTTAAGTGCATGCTGTTCCATACTCTATTGTATTTAATAGCAGAATGAACATTTTCTGAAATATGATACTGAATGTTATAGAATTACATGGTAAATTGGTAATGGCATTACATTTGTACAGTCTTCTTGAATTGCGATAAGTTTACGTAGGACCATGGTTTTTCGACATAGTCTTGAATAATTGCAACTCTTTGTTGGCAGAGTCGTCTGGTATTGTAGCCAGCCTTGTGTTTTCCGCAGACCCTATCTCTGCCCTAGAATTCATTAGAGCTACCAGTAGTATTGACAGAGCTTACTGCTGTTCAAACAGCTGTAGTGGTGTGACTGGCTAGCTTCACTTGCAGAAGTGACATCACTGTTAGCCTAGTTTCTGGTACAGGCTAGGGGAGTGGTCATGTCCAGATGTGCCATGCAAGTCACTGTGTAAAAGATGGGGCCTATCAGCAGGTTAGGGACTGTACGATATTTACCGGGGGGAGAGGGCTGGTGCACTGGAGGGGAGGGCCATTGAAAAAAATTTTGGCCTGGGGGGAGGGCCATGGAAAAAAATTTTGAGTCGGGGGGAGGGCCATACGAAAAAAAAATCGGCCTGGGGGGGAGGGCCACCGAAAAACTTTTGTAAAATATGGTGTCGCGTAGTACCGAATTACAAGAAATACGCCGTAAATTCCCGAATATAGTACGCACTTTTTACATTTTTCAAAATCCCAGAAGTGTCTCGGGCCGTCGCCAAAGTCGCGGTGCGTACGTACTTTATTTGAGTTTTCCGCCGACAAATCCGTGGACGACCCAGGAATATAGCGGAACACCGGCAAGGGGAGCTTGGAACATCGATCGTCTATAGCATGTTTAGATGGGTTTCTCTTTTTAGCGAACGCCCACGAAAGCCCACCAATTGTCGCACGAATCTTAAAATTTTTGGTGTGGTCATGTCCAGAGTGTGCTCGCGGGTGTCCATGCCAAGTTTGAAGCGAATCCATCGAGCCGAACTTAAATAAATCGAAATTTACTGGTTTTTTTCTCTTCTTGGCGAACGCCCACTTTACTTCCGGGTTCGCTGTGAACGCCCACTACTCTTGGCAACATTTCGGCCCTCGCGCAACGCCGGCAAAATCCACCACCACAAATATGTTCCTACATGCCTCCCCCTGCATTTCTGACAAGTTTCCGTGCTTTACGAGCTTTTAAAGTACCCATTTTTTGACAAAATATGCGCTGCGACGAGCTCGCCGCCTCCGCGTATACGTTCCACCTGGTCACATGACTTGCGGGCGGGGACTGTTCGCTCATGATCAGCGGGAGGGAGGAAGGGTTGCAGAAAAACGCAATCTACCGCACAAAAAGGGCAGAATGTCGTCTTTGTAACATCAAACATAAATGATTTCCTTTCCTGCATAATTTTCACCACGGTTATTATTATAAATAAGCTGCGATATCACAGACATAGTGTTGCACAATTGATACACTTCTCAAACCAGGGATTTCATACAACTGTATCAGGTTACCTGCAGCACGCACCTTCCAGTCGCCGGCGGTGTGGACAACAATGTAACCGCTTGTTGCATAATTATTATACTATTCCATATATATATATATAT